TTCCTACTCCTGTGTTTTGCATCTCTTTTTTTGCTACATTACTTACTTAAAACTACAGCCGAGATGCTGCACTAGGCAACTTGTAGACGCTTTAAAACATCTACAAAAGTGCAGAAAAGACGGTATCAAAACGGCGTGGGTGGGAATCTTTCCAAAATCCAGAACAGAGCGCCGTTCTTCTCTATCATTATATGTTAAAAATCTTGTGAACTATGCCTACCTTTCTGTATGGCACGAGATTGCAGAGGGCCAGCGAATCGCGTTGAGAAGTACATCTAGAACAGCTCATTTTGGCTTGAACATATCAAAAAATCAAATGAGACTTGAGATCAGACCTAGTAACAGCTAATGATTTTCTTCCATCATGTTTGATTTCATTACAGAATGGAGTTGGCATTTCTCCCCTTAAAAATGCAAAGAACATAAATGCATGAAATCAAGCAGCTTGAAAGCAGAAGTATCCTTATGCGTGGGGAACTTACTTCTCAATCTTATTGTTGATCCATTCACCACAGCTTTTCCGTGCAAAGTCACATCCTAGCTTTCGACCCCAGTGGAGTTCCTCAGCATTTCTGACAAGAAGAGGTCTTTGTCAATATTCTTTTAGCAATCGATGAATTGAAAATAGTTCTCTCCGCACTTTTTACATATTGAAGCTATGGGAGCAAGTCTGTCCTTTTTGAATAGATAAGAAAAAAACGATTTTTTCAAAGCTTAGTGATTTTTATGGAAAGAGAATGAGATGATATGAAATAATAATCTTATTGGAAACTATCCATTTAAGAAAATGAGATTGTTCATCATATTTTGAGAAGTTCCATATACTAATAAGGGTAAGAGGAGAGAATTCTTGAGAGGCAATTTGGACTGAGAGAAGCATGAAACAATAAAATAAATGAGATTTTGTTTATCAGACGACTGGCTCACAAAAAACCATGCTTAGAAAGACTTTTGTATGATTAATGGTATTTAATGTGTTCTAGCTCCCATCAACTCTAAAATCTCCTACATTTTAGTTAATAAATTTCGAAAGAAACCAGTAAATGATTAGAATGGAAGTGAATTATGAATCCCCTCTTTTTACAAAAACATATCTCCATTTTGAAGAGAAGAGTATGATTTTCAATTTTTTTTTATTGGAAGAATGTAAACTTACTCATAATTTGGTTTGTACCATCCGCTGTCCTCTAACAATGCCAGCGTTATCCGAGAGTAAACGGGATTTTGAGTATGCGTGCCGGTCATGGCCTCATTCTGGAAAATTCTATTGAGACACAGATTCTACTACTTTGACATCATTCCAGGTAATTTAACCAGGAGATAAATAGGGCTTTCTTATCTAAAAGTTTAAATACCCACCTCAAACACTCGTTTTTCCCAGTGAGTCAATGCAGTTCCGTCTCCACCTTGATTCTCAAG